TCTGGGCGACAGAGTGAGACTCCAACTCAAAAAAAACCAAACAAACAAACAAAAAAAAAAGATGAAAAACTAAAGATAAAGAAAGGGGCGTGAATGGGGAAGCTCTTTCACCCACCGAGTTCTGCAATTTTTCGTGTTCACCTGCTCACAGTGCCACATAGCTAGGGTCTCTACCAGCTAGTGACTTCCTTGTGGGCAGGGACCATGTCTTTTTCCTCTTGGTGTTTCCCAGTTTCTGCTATGGTGCCCTACACATGACAGGTGCTTAACCAATGGTATCCCTACCAGAGCCTGTCACTGTCACACGCAGATGACAGAATCGGCCTGGAGTAGGCTCACAGAGGCATCCAGGTTTTCAGGATATACCTGAAACTACAGATCTGTCCCTGGAGAGACCCTACACACCCCAAGAGCAGAGGTTCTCAAACTTTGTTACATATCAGTGTGGCCTAGGAAGCACCAGCCCTAGACAGCATGGTTAGTAGGTCTGGGGTAGGGTTGAAGGATCTGCATGTTTTAAGTTTCATACCAAGTGCACCACTGACGGACAGTCAGTGACCCACAGAAACACTGACACAGGAGGCGTTGTTGAAGGAGTCTCTGGCCTGGTGCACAGGTGCACAGCACAGAAACCACACACCCAGCTCTCTCCCTGCCTCCGGCCTCCACCAGTGTGTAAAGGAAGCAGGGATCAGGGTCTCGGAGGCATGATGCCCCCTCAGATGCCTGCTCTGACATCTTGCTTCTGTGGGTCTAACTTATCGGCATGGCTGTCACTCCAGAATGCGGACCTTTCTGATCTCTCCACCTCTGAATCTGCCTCCGCTCCCAGGTGAGCTCACTGGACTCCCTTTCCTTGGTCTCCAAAGTTCCCCTCGACGACAAAAGGCTGGCAGGACGATCATGGACTGGGCTCCCTGAGCCGCCTGGCTTGGAGCCCAAGGAGCTGGGCCGCTAGCCACAGCTCCACAGATTATTCGCTGCGTGACCTGGGGCAAAGTTTCCTCCGACATGGTTTCCTCATCTGGAAAACAATGCTTTCCTCACCTGATTGCCTCGTGGACTTGTGAGGATCGGGGTATGATGAAATGAAAATGTTCTACGAACAGTCCTTTCCACACTCATATCGTGGGTCAAGCCTCAGGGACTTGTTTTTGGGTTTGGCCTGAGAACCCATGTCCCATCCTATCCCAACCCCAGATTTTTTTTCTTTTCTTCAAGAGTTTGTTCCAAGTCATCCCTCCATAACTGGGAAGCCTCCCTCCCACGTGATACTTGGTGGAGGCCTTGTGAGCCTTGTAGGATGGTGCATCGGGGTGCGGTTGCCGCCACGTGTTAGCCAGCTCCGGGGCCTACACCATATTCAGATCCCTCATGAGGAGACCAGATTTTTCTAGGAGCTGTTGCCAAGGGCCTGAGACTCTAGGTGGACGGGCAGGAAGGAGTGGGGACCACGCTGCTCACCATGGAACGAGGCCACCGATCGGGTCCCGGGAGTCACCGCGCAGCTGGCGGCTCCTGGAAATAAAACACAGAGCTGGAGCTCTCCCAGGAGCTGCAGGAGAAACTGGGGCGGCCTTGAGACTCAAGAAATGAGGCCAGCGTGTTCTCAGCAGAACGGGCTGCTAGTCTGCTGACACGCAGAACCAACCCCAGCCTCTCACGTTTCTCATATTTAGGTGACACCGTTTATTGACAAAAAAAGCAGCATGGTGGAAAGACCCGCGACTCAGTAGGCCCAAGTCAAGAGGTCTGGGGAGAATCATGTTTCCTGCTCAGCGGGCAACTCAGCGCATTGCACCCTTGGCTTAGAGCCAAGAGCTCAAGAAAGCGTCTTCCCTTAAATCGCATCAGCCCATTCAAGGATGAAGCCAAAAATGTCCACCTGCTCCCTTTCATGAGACAGGAATCCTCTAGAAAATTGGGCATGGGCTCTCCCTAAGCATTTCGATGGTGTAACTGCAGAATATCCCACAAGGAAATCCAGACTTGGTCCGTGTTTCTTGCCTACAACTCTCCAAATTATCCCCGGGGACCTCTCTAAGGAGCCTGCCTCGTAGAAATATTCCCCATTCTTGCCCGACGCTGCTTCCCCCCAAGATGATCTGTAGATCCACGGATACTTGCCACGGAAGGAAGACCGCGTGTGTCTGGAGCCTCTTCTCCAACCCGGGACCACTCACCTTCTCTTGCAGCCGTTCCAACATGGCGGCAAGGTGGGCCTCTCGGTTCTCCTTGTTGGATTCCATCTTCTGGGCCAGTTTTTCCTTCGCCATCTTGATGAAGTTGTTGTTTTCCTCAATGGCTTTCTGGATCACCTCCCGCTCGTGCTCCCGTTTCTCGGCTAGGTGCTTCAGGAGCTCGGCTTCCTGGTACTGGAGAAGCATAGAAGAGGCCCTTGAGGGTGAGCAAGCCAGGGCAGATTTCTAATACCATGGTGGAAATGTTCCACACCCAGAACACACACCTCCCTGTCCCCGGCCTGTTGGCAGGAAGCAAGGATGCCTCCTGGATTCCTCTACCTCCTCCAGAGCCATCCAGGCTCCTTGGCCGTTCTGTCTTTTTCCAGCCTCTTCCTAAATATCCTCAAGGCCCTGTTTCTCACTGCCGTCATTCATTCACTTGTTCTTTCTTTCACAAACACTAAGTGATCTTGTACTATGTGCCAGACACGATTCTAACAGCCCGAGAAAGAAAAAGTCTAGTAGAGATGAGACACATATAAACAGGCACCGTGGCTCATGCCTAGAATCCCAGCACTTCGAGAGGCTGAAGCGAGAGGTTACTTGAACCCAGGAGTTCAAGACCAACCCAGGCAACACAGCAAGACCCCATCTTTACAAAAACAAAAACAGAAAAGCGGCTGGGTGTGGTGGCTCTTGCCTGTAGTCCCAGCTATGTGGGAGGCAGAGGCGGGAGGACGGCCTCAGCCCAAGAGATTGAGGCTGTGGTAAGCCGTGATGGTGCCACTGCACTCCAGCCTGGGTGACAGAGTGAGACCCCTGATTAAATAAATAAATAAAAACCACACTAGTGAATGACATAGGCCCTGAGAGGTAGAAAGGTTGCACTGCTGAAGGAATTCCATGTAGGAGAAGATTATTTTCTGCTTGAAAGACAGGCTGGGTGTGGTGGCTCAGCCTGTAATCCCAGCATTTTGGGAGGCCGAGGTAAGTGGATTGCCTGAGTCAGTGGGTTCGAGACCAGCTCGGGCAACTTGGCAAGACCTCATTTCTACCATACCTCCAAAAAATTAGCCGGGCGTGGTAGTGCACGCCTGTAGCTCCAGCTGTTTGGAAGGCTGAGGCAGAGGGATTGACACTGGGGTGGCCATGAACATGCCACGGCACTCCAGCCTGGGCAATGGAGTGAGACTCCAACTCAAAAAAAAAAAAAAAAAAAAAAAAAAGACGAAAAGAAGCTTCTACTTAGCATCAGAGTCGGGCCACAAGAGCCAACAGGAAGCACAGAGGCACAGCAGGGCCAGAGAGACCTCAGCATGACCAATTCCACTCCCTGGATGAGGGACCCTAGACATTCCCTAAATCCTTAATATTGCCCCCGTGCATATAAGGCCCCCTTGGTATATAGGGCAGTGCCCTGTCCCTCCAACCAAACTGTAGGCCCCTAGTGGCCAGGGACTCTTACTTCTTTGTTTCCCTCAACGGTGCCTCATTCGATACTCGGGAGATGCTGCCTAGATATCTGTAGGTTGGGCTTCCCGCAGCTCAGGGCCACCACCTGTCTTCTCCTGCACCCTCTCCATCGTGAGGAGAGGGTGCGGGAGAAGACAGGTGGCGGCCCTGAGACAGAGACAAGAAAGAAAAGGGCAGCGCTCACCTTCCTCCGCTCCTCGGCAGCTTCTAGTTTCTTCTGGATCTCTTCCAGGGAGGGGTCTCGCCGCCTGGGCAGGGAGGCGTTGAACTCGGGCACCCCATCAAAGGAGGGCGGCTTCAGGATGACTTCGAAGGACTGGCCCGAGGTGCATTTGTTCAGCTCGATGACTTCCATGTCCGAAATGACGCACCAGTTCAGGTCCACGGTGTCCGCTGCGGGGGGCAGAGAAGGGGCTGCTCACTCCCTGAACAGCACGTACCCCTCACCCCCAAGAGCAGGCACTCAGACATGGGGTAGCCGGTGACCCGGGGTCTGGCTCGGTCCCGCACGCTGACCCCTAAGGTCAGTGGGCTCTGATGGAGCTGAAGGAGTCTGTGGCTACAGTGCGGTTTCGGCCCACTCCCAAGGGCAGGGGGCCCCAGGGTGGGTGGTTTCCCAGGACGGCTGCCTCGACACTGGGGCTTTGGCTTGTGTTCCACCCCCAGCCTCCTCTGAGGGCTGAGCTTTCGCTCCACGTGTCATCTACGGCGTCGGAGAAGGGTGCGCGTCACCCCCGCCCCGTCCACCCTCGCCCCGCTGCCCATCTGACGCTTGGCCTGACGCCTCTCCCCGCCTCCCTCCTACCCTGTGCTCTTCTCTCTCTCCAGTCAGCACTGTCTTTCTGTTGGCTTTCAGCTTGCTTCCTACACTGTCTCCCACACCAGTCTAAACAGAAAAAACAATCTCAAGTCATCCCAGCATGCCTGTGCCGCGGTGCCAGACCAAACCCATCCCTTCCTTTCTCCCGGGAAATCAGCGGTGACCTGGCCCCCGAGCATCCCTGATGAGGACGTGGCCAGCCAGTGCTCCCTGTCGGCGTCTTGGGCTGACACAGACCTTCAGATGCGCCCCCAGAGTGTTCTCTGCCCTTCCCCGTGGAGACCTGGAGACCTGGAAACTGGTGATTCACCCCAAGGCTCGTCTTCTCATCTAGTCCAGGTGTCCCCCACAAAAATCACGTGCAGTCTGAGGAGACCTGACTCAGACCCTCACAGGCTGTCCCTGCAGCTCAGACCCTCAGCCTCCACGATTTCGCTGGCTCTGGGACGGAAACTGGGATGTGGGAGGAGAGTTTCGTGAAACCGGGGTGTAGGTGGAGGACACAGGAGGCCCGCCTCTCTCTTGCCTGACGGAGCCTTCACTGACCTTCATATTTGTAGGAGGACTTATTCAGGGGATCAGCCAGGAAGCAGGAGCAGAACAAGGACACCAGTGGGAGCTCTTTCATCTTCTCTTTGTAGGCTGCGGAAACACCGGCCAGGTGACCATGGAGACTCGCCCAGCCCAGAAGACACCTCCCGCGTGGGTGTGGAGCGGGCGTCTGAGACTCTGGGGTCTCACAGAGGTGCCCAAACCATGCAGACCCACATCTAGGCTGGAACCGAGCCCTTTGCCCTGAGCCGCCCTGTTCAGGATTCCCGTGTGGGATTGGAACCCACTCCTGTCACCTATTGAAGCCTGAGCCTTCCAGAACACCCACACGACTTGTCTTTTCCCCAGAACATCTTCTCTCATTACAGCACCCAATGCAAAATGCCCTCGTGTGAAGGCCCCAAGCACCACTGCCTGGCTCCCTCTCCCCAGAATATTCTAATTCTTTGTGCTAGGATGCAGGAGACTACACTCAGTGCTACTCAAACTACTTGGCCACACCGCCTCAAAGGGTTAAGAAACTGGACGGAAGCGGGTGTCCCTCTGGTCTGGCCCCTGCAAGGCCAGGGTCGGGCTGCAAACCTCCCCTGAAATTCCCAGCACAGTGGACAGAGTCAGGGGTGGAGGGTTATGTCCACAAGGGCTGGGACATAGCCCCGCCACCCTCTAGTTTGTGTCTGGGAGGCCAGGGGTCAGAGTTGCCCTGGATCCTGCCTGTCCCTCCCCCAACTCCCAGTTGACCCCTGGCACAGCACAGGAGTGCTCCTCCTCCTTTCCCTTTATTTAAAAAAAAAATTTCTTTTAGATGAGGTCTCCATAGGTTGCCCAAGCTGGACTTGAACTCCTGGGCTCAAGCAAGCCTCCTGTCTTAGTCCTGAAGCAGTCCTGATTTAAGAGCATAAGCCACTGCACCTGGCTTCCTTTTACAAATCTGAAAACATAAGTAACTGCAAAAAATACATGGGTTTTATTAAAAAAAACTTTACTGCTGGGCGCGGTGGCTGAAACCTGTCATCCCAGCACTTTGAGAGGCCGAGGCAAGAGGATTGCCTGAGTTCAGGGATTCAAGAGCAGCCCGGGCAACTTGATGAGACCGCGTCTCAACAATAAATCAAAAAATTAGCCAGGCGTGGTAGCATGTGCCTGTAGTTCCAGTTACTTGGAAGGCTGAAGCGGAAGGATCGCGTGAGCCCAGCAGGTCGAGGCTGCAGTGGCCGTGAGCATGCCACGGCACTCCAGCCTGGGCGACAGAGTGAGACTCTGCCCCCTCCCCAAAAAAAAACTTTATTGAAAAACCACACAGATGAGCAAAGGGGAGAAAACCTCAGCTATGACCCCACCCAGCAGCTAGAGAGAACCTCCTTTCACCCTTCAGTGTATCTCCTCCTGCCAGCCTGCAGTTTCTCTGCATCTGTAAGGACATATACACGTGTGTGAAGGGGCACCCAGCCTATGTCACCTGCACCTGTAAGAATGTGTACGTGGGGTGGGGAGGACAGCCTATGCTATGGAGCCCTATCACACACTCAGTTTTTATACATACCAGCAAGGGTCATGTTTCTGGGATCTGATGACTGAATCCGACTGAAAGTTACAGAGTGGGTCGGTCACCAGCTCAGGATGTTGTCACAAACCTGCAGAAAAGAGAGCACGGTGTTTTACTGCGGACAGGTTATTCCATAAGTAAGGTCTTTATACACTGGGGAGGAAATCTTGAGGGTACCTTG